CTATATTATTCAATGCAGTTTACACTGCTCTGTATATATTGTAGCCTTCTTAGAACTACAGCTGTATTTTGTACAATGAGTGCAGAAAAAATGCTTTCACTCGATAAATAACATTGCCTCAAAATTTCCCAGGGCTGTTTTGGGTTTTTTTTCCTTTAATATGAAACTTGAGAAACAAAGAGGAAAAAGTAGTTAAAATCTTGGAGGACCTATCGCACTTTGCAGCGCATCTTCACATGCATTTTATTTTAATAGTAGATCTCACTAGACTGTACCATGATTTACTGCTTTAAACATTTGTCCCAAGATACAAAATAAATCCACCAGAGATTTCCCAGAATTTGGGGGGTTTTTTGAAGGTCTGCCTTCTGAAGGTCATTTTTTCCTGGACAGAAAAAAAGGCTTAGTAACTGCAAAAGAGACAGAAGCTATCATTCACATACCTGAACAAGTCTACACAGAAATCAGTATTCCCGGGAAAAAAAAGTAAAGTGGTATATACACTTATTTATAGCTGAACATCACATCTCCTGTTAACTTGGGCTCCACCACCCGCATAGCAAAAATATTCTGTCCAATCCATTGCGGTCAAAGCTAGTTAGGCTCATTTTTCTCTCTCTCTCACTCTGTTGATTTGAAGTACCTGCTAAGGTTTATTAAAGCACTTCATCTGATCACCCCTATGATCTCTCCTACTTCGCTTTATTGACTAAAATACATAGTTGTTGGACCCGATCACCTCCATATTCCATGATTAAACACTTTCATTTGTCATTTTACAAAGACTATTGCACCTTTCAGTGGATTTGCCTTCTAACTATATGGACAAAACATGAACTAGAAAAAGACAGAAAAGTAATAGAGAAACAGGACACACATGAATAACAGGTATCTAAATAGAGTCCCAAATCATGAATATGTATGACAGGGAATAAACAGCAAGAACAAAGATGGGCAAAAAGCTTTGAGAACAATAAAATAAAACAACAACAAAATCAGCTTTTCAGACAGTACAGGGCTTATCATCTGAGCAACACTGATCAAAGTCTTGTCTCCACAGTCTCATGTCAAGTCTAAAAATGCAATTCCTTTTACTTAAGCATACCTCAATTAAACTACAGGCACTTAGCGGGAATACTTCAAATAATGAAAAAAGGTAGAGAAGCCTTTCAATAAGGAATCATTCTCATTAACAACTTGTGCTCAATACTAAGTTGTTTACCATCACAACTTTCAGCCATAACGAACAGGAATCATAGAATCATAGAATCCTCAAGGTTGGAAAAGACCCTTAAGATCATCGAGTCCAACCGTTAACCCAGCACTGCCAAGTCCACCACTAAACCATGTCCTCAAGCACCACGTCTCCCCGTCCTTTAAATACCTCCAGGGATGGAGACTCAACCACTTCCCTGGGCAGCCCGTTCCAATGCTTGACCAGCCTTTCGGTGAAGAAGTTTTTCCTAATGTCTAACCTAAACCTCCCCTGGCGCAGCTTGAGGCCGTTTCCTTTCGTTCTATCACTCATTACTAGGGAGAAGAGACCGACCCCCACCTCGCTACAGCCTCCTTTCAGGGAGTTGTAGAGAGCAGTAAGGTCTCCCCTCAGCCTCCTCTTCTCCAGGCTAAACAACCCCAGCTCCCTCAGCCGCTCCTCATAAGACTTGTGCTCTAGACCCTTCACCAGCTTCGTTGCCCTCCTCTGGACACGCTCCAGCACCTCCATGTCCTTCTTGTAGTGAGGGGCCCAACACTGAACACAGCACTCGAGGTGCGGCCTCACCAGTGCCCAGTACAGGGGCATTATCACCTCCCTGGTCCTGCTGGCCACACTATTCCTGATACAAGCCAGGATG